TGCCCGGGCCCCCCCTGCCGGCTCGGGCGTCCGAAGGCGGCCGCGGGTCCCTTGACGAAGCTCTGTCCACGAGGGCCAGGGAGGTGCTCAAGGATCTGACCAAGTCTTCTTTGAATTTTTCCTTCATTTAAATGCAGAGGTAGCAAAACTTAGCAGAAAAGGCTACTTACGTGGTACCTTTCACTCTGAAAATGCCGGGCAGCTGCACAGTAATGAGGGAAATCCGTTTGGGTCGGCCCAGGCTCACTAGCACTTCTGGTGCCAGATACGTGGCTCATTGTTGGCCCCTTCCCTTCCTCTACGTGGTGTGGTGGTTGAGGTGCTGGACTCCCACGTGGCTGGCTGCAGTTCACGTGCCAGACTCAGTGGCTTGAAAATCAGGACAGACAATGTGCATGCGTGCCCAAATCCTGAGAGGAGAGTGGAGAAGGGATTGTGGTGTGGTCATCCCCTTTGAGGGGTGATTTCTTGCTTTCCTTCTCTCTGTCTCTTTCTCTGGCGAGTACATGTACCTTAAGGCAAAGACCTTAACAAAAGAGAAGTACTCATCGGACAGCTGGGTACCGTGCCTGACAGGTGTGGTAGTGGGTCAGACACAGGCTTATCCATGTGGTCTCTTGTCCTTGACGAGATCCAGTGTGTCCTGACGAGGCATCTTGGTGGGTGTCTCCTGTCCCGTTGGCTCCGGCCTTCCTAACTTACTGGAGAACGCCCCCAGCTTAGAAACGTCCACTGTAGACGTGGCCTGTGTAATGTTGCTCCAGCTCAAGGATTCCAGTGCCTACCTTAGAATTCGTAGAACACGCTGCTGCTTTTTTTTTTTTTTTGCTATAGGGCGCGTGCGCTCGCCAGACAGACAGAGACAGAGAGACAGAAAGCAAGAAATCACCCCCCATGGGGGATGGCCACGCCACAATCCCTTCTCTTCCCTTCTCCTCTCAGGATCTTGGGCACGCACGCACATGCGCCTGGCGTGAGTTTAAGCCACCGGGTCCGGGACGCAAACCGCGGTCGACTACGTGGAAGTCCAGCGACAGCCGTTACACTCACTGCTGGTCCCTAGAACAGGCTTCTCGTCCCGAGTAGGGCTGCAGTGGCGCCGGCCTCTCCGTGGGTGGTCACGCTGCGTGTCTCGCGTCCTACAGGTGCTGCAGCTCTATCAGATCACCCAGATCAATCACGGCCTGATGATGGTGGGGCCCTCGGGAAGTGGGAAGAGCACGGCTTGGCGCGTCCTGAAAAAAAAGGAGAGACTCGAGGGCGTAGAAGGCGTGGCCCACATCATCGACCCCAAGGCCATCAGCAAAGACCACCTGTACGGAACCCTGGACCCCAACACCAGGGAGTGGACAGACGGCCTCTTCACACACGTGCTCAGGAAGTAGGTCTGCTCAGATCAGAGCTCGCGTTCTCGCGCATCTGGGCCCGAGTACCCCGCTCTCGCCATGCCAGGCAGCCATTTCCGGCCTCAGGAGCCATCATAGGCCGGGTGTTTTTGTTCGTAAGCGTTTGGTTTAGTCAACAGCTATTCAAATCCTTCCTGTCAGGATCATCGACAACGTGCGAGGCGAGTTGCAGAAACGCCAGTGGATCGTCTTCGATGGCGACGTGGACCCTGAGTGGGTGGAGAACCTGAACTCGGTGCTAGACGACAACAAGCTGCTCACCCTGCCGAACGGGGAGCGCCTCAGCCTTCCCCCCAACGTAAGGAGCCTTCCCGTGTGGGCTGCGGGTCACTCACGCTTTCCGGCCACGGAGACCCAGGCGCTAGCAAGCTGCAGCTTGGAGCGAGGTGCCATGTAGCAATCAGTGTGCACAGTTTTCCAAGCTGGAGTGGCTGCTGCTGCGTTTCCTCCGCTCCCAGGGCTAGCGAGAGATTTGTGCGGGTGTCGATGACTTTCTAAGGGCGCTGCGGTTGACCTACCTCACAACCCTATCACGTGGGGTTCTGTTGGGGTTTCTTGGGAGGTGGCAAAGTAAGGAATCGAGAATGTGAGTTCAGCACTGTCCTCAGGGGGTGAGTGTTTGGTGCAGCACTGAGCACACGGCCCATTAGGTCAGTGGGCACGGCTGGGCCTGGCGTGGATTCTCAGTCCCTCCCTGCTCTCCGCCTGCCCGGGCTGGATTGCCGTCTGCCATGGAGGACGGGCGCGCGACGGTGGGAAGGACTGAGGAGAGAGGCTGGGAGAGAGCTGCCGGGGCTGGCGTCCAGATGGCAGAGGCGGCTCCTGAAGGCCTACCTGAGCAGGTGGTCGAGGCCCCTGAGCATCTGGAGAGAGCAGAGAGGGAGCGGCACTCCTGGGTCAGCAGTGCCCCGCGTGCTGAGGGGAACACAGCGGTCTGGGTTAGAGCAGCGGGTGACGGGGTCTACCGCGCCTCTGCGGAGTCTGGAGAAGAGAGTCAGGGCAGGAGGAGGCAAGGAGGCCCTCTGGTGACTGCTGAGGCCTTCAGGCCCAGTGGGAGCAGGGGAGTGGCGAGCTAGCAGCATTAGGTCGCCAGAGAGCTTACTGCCGTACAGGCAGGTCAGGTGCTGCCTAGATTTGCCGGGGAACCTCAGGCAGTGTGACGGACGCTGCAGCTGCTGGGAGGTGTTGAACTCCATCCTGGGCAAGCAGGAGCCTGCATGCAGAGGGCTCGGGGTGCCTCAGAAACCGAGCCGCGGGTCCCCAGCACCAGGAAAGGTGTGCTAACACACTCGGCTTTGACCGACTTGGAGAGTCCTTTTGATTTCTGGTTATCCGGTCGGTCCTGGCCGTCCTCAGGAAATGAGCCTCCTGCGAGACCATCCTAGCACCGAGGGTGGGGCTCTGACTCCAGAGTTGGTTTGAGTCCCAGCCCCACCGCTTACTTGTAGTGGGGCCTCAGCCAGGTCCTGACCACATTGAGAACTTGGGGACAGTCACACGCCTGCCACAGTGGCTTCCCTGGGAATCGAGTGAGTTTGGGCACGGGGGCACTGGGACAGTCCTGAGCTTACTGCTGGGCACCTCTGAGGGGCTGTCACTGCCACCCCACCGAGCGCCCCCCTGCAGGCCAAACACCGATGCCAGCGGGCCAGTCTGCGCTCCCACATGCTCGGGAGAGGACGGTGGCCGTGGCTGTGGAAACTCAGCTGAAGGATGGTAACCAGACTGATGACGTGAAACCCGCCTGCTGTTTCCTTCCAAGGTGCGGATCATGTTCGAAGTGCAGGACCTGAAGTACGCGACCCTGGCCACGGTGTCACGCTGTGGTATGGTGTGGTTCAGTGAGGATGTGCTGAGCACGGACATGATCTTCAACAACTTCCTGGCCAGGCTGCGCAGCATCCCCCTGGACGAGGGGGAGGACGAGGCGCAGCGGCGGCGCAAGGGCAAAGAGGATGAGGGGGAGGAGGCTGCTTCCCCGATGCTGCAGGGACGAGGCTGGCATCTCAGTGTCAGGGCGTCGAGGTGCGGTGAGGTTGGGACGAGCACCGGCCGCCGTCTGTCCAAGCCAGCAGGCGAGGGGTTTGGGTGGCCAGGGTCGTGTACCAGCAGCTCAGGAAGTCCAGCCGTAGCCGCTGCACGTTAGACGTGTGGAAAGTTTAAGGAATTCTTCCCCCCTAAAGAATTATTTATTTATTTAATTATCACTGTTACTGCATTTTTTAGTTTGGTATAGGGCGTGTGTGCTCACCAGAGAGGAGGACAAAGGGAAAGTGCGAAAGCAAGCCACCAGATCCGGGATTCAGACCGTAGTCAGCCACGCGGGAGTCCAGCGCCTTGACCGCTACACCCACTGCTGGCCCCAAATTTAAGGAATTCTTTTGGTCCTCCCTCTTTTCTTCAAATTAATGAAGGACCGCCCTTCCACAATCTGGTGAAAACCAGAGCTCTGGGAGGCCCAGTGTTTGAGCACCTCCAGGGTGAAGGAAAGGGGCCGGTCATTGAGGCTTCCTCCAGAACTACTCTCCCGAGCTTGCGTGCCTCCACGGGCCTGGACAGAGCCAGTGTTTAGCTTTGGTCATTCCCCCAGATCCAGAGGGACGCGGCCACGATCATGCAGCCGTACTTCACGTCCAACGGGCTGGTCACCAAGGCGCTGGAGCACGCATTCAAGCTGGAGCACATCATGGACCTCACGCGCCTGCGCTGCCTCGGCTCACTCTTCTCCATGCTGCACCAGGCCTGCCGCAACGTGGCGCAGTACAACGCCAACCACCCCGACTTCCCCATGCAGGTCGAGCAGCTGGAGCGCTACGTGCAGGTCAGGCGCTGGCTCTGGGCAGCCGCAGAGGGTGTCTGGCACCCCGCTTCACGGCTCGCTGGCTGTCTGTTGCTAAAACTCAGATCTGAACTTCTGCTCTAGCGCTACCTGGTGTACGCCATCCTCTGGTCCTTGTCTGGAGACAGCCGGCTGAAGATGAGGGCAGAGCTGGGCGAGTACATCAGGCGGATCACGACCGTGCCCCTGCCCACCGCGCCCAACATCCCCATCATCGACTACGAGGTTAGTGTCTGACCATCGCAACTCCGCCTCGGTTCCGGTCCGTGTCTCACTTGTCTTGACCACGCCTGGGCTTCGTCTTTCCGTTCCTCATCAGGGCCTTGTGCTTCCAGCTTTGTGTGGGAGCCGAGAATACAGATGAGCTTGCCCTTATCTTGAAAGTTGTGGCTCGTAAATCTGAGCAAAGCCCGTCAGTGAGGAGAAGCCTTGGCCCCAGGTGACGGTCACCCCATCTCTGTGCAGGTGTCCATCAGTGGAGAATGGTCCCCGTGGCAGGCCAAGGTGCCTCAGATCGAAGTGGAGACGCACAAGGTGGCGGCCCCTGACGTCGTCGTGCCGACCCTGGACACGGTCCGCCATGAGGCCCTCTTGTACACGTGGCTGGCCGCACACAACGCGGCGGGCTTTGTTG